TTTTCAAAAATGACTAAGTCCTTTTTTTTTAAATAAGAGCCGAAAATTCACCGAAACTACCCAAGATGTTTTTCATAAGGTGTATTTAGACTCCCTTGGCTGTTTTGAGTAAATAAAGATTTTTGAAAAATTTCAGATTTTTTGAACTTTTTTGCAGGTCCGGGGTCATGAAACTTTTCAAAAATGACTAAGTCCTTTTTTTTAAAATAAGAGCCCAAAATTCACCGAAACTACCCAAGATGTTTTTCGTAAGGTGTATTCAGACTCTCTTGGTTCTTTTGAGTAAAAAAGTTTTTTGAAAAATTTCAGATTTTTTTAACTTTTTTGGTAGTCCGAGATCATGAAATTTTTCAAAAATGACTAAGTCCTTATCTTTAACATAAGAGCCTAAAATTCACCGAAACTGCCCGAAATGTTCTTCGGAACGTTAATTAATACTCTCTTGGTTGTTTTGAGTAAAAAAATGTTTTTGATCAATTCAGAACTTCTTCGTGTTTTTCAAGCTTTAGCCTCAACCATTACAGGTATTTTATTTCTTACTTTTTTCCAGATATCTCTTCGAGATTCAACCAAAGGTCATCAAAACATTTTAGAAAGGTATTTTCTTGGCATTTTCCGTTCTTTTGAGTAAAAATAAATTTTTGAAAAATTTCAGATTTTTTGAACTTTTTTGCAGGTCCGGGGTCATGAAACTTTTCAAAAATGACTAAGTCCTTATCTTTAAAATAAGTGCCTAAAATTCACCAAAACTGCCCGAAATGTTTTTCGTAAGGTGTATTAAGACTCTCTTGTTTGTTTCGAGTAAATAAAGATTTTTGAAAAATTTCAGATTTTTTGAACTTTTTTGCAGGTCCGGGGTCATGAAACTTTTCAAAAATGACTAAATCCTTATCTTTATAATAAGTGCCTAAAATTCACCAAAACTGCCCGAAATATTTTTCGCAACGTGTTTTAAGACTCTCTTGTTTGTTTCGAGTAAAAAAAAATTTTTGAAAAATTTCAGATTTTTTAAACTTTTTTGCAGGTCCAGGGTCATGAAATTTTTCAAAAATGACTAAGTCGTTATCTTTAAAATAAGAGTCTAAAATTCACCAAAACTGCCCGAAATGTTCTTCGGAACGTTAAGTAAGACTCTTTCGGTTGTGTCGAGTAAAAAAAAAATTTTCAAAAATTTCAGATTTTCTGAACTTTTTTGCAGGTCCGGGGTCATGAAATTTTTCAAAAATTACTAAGTCGTTATCTTTAAAATAAGAGCCTATAATTCACCCAAACTACCCGAAAGGTTCTTCGGAACGTGTATTAAGACTCTCTTGGTTGTTTTGAGTAAAAAATTGTTTTTGAAAACTTCAGAACTTTTTCGTGTTTTTCAAGCTTTAGCCTCAACCTTTTCAGGTATATTATTTCTTACTTTTTTCAAGTTATCTCTTAGAGTTTCAACCAAAGGTCATCAAAACATTTTAAAAAGGTAATTTCTTAGCATTTTTGGTTTTTTGAGCGAAAGAAACTTTTTGAAAAATTTCAGATTTTTTGAACTTTTTTGCAGGTCCGGGGTCATGAAACTTTTCAAAAATGACTAAGTGCTTATCTTTAAAATAAGAGCCTAAAATTCACCGAAACTACCCGAGATTTTTTTAGCAACGTGTATTTAGACTCTCTTGGTTGTTTCGAGTAAAAAAGTTTTTTTGAAAAATTTCTCATTTTTTTAACTTTTTTGCTGGTCCGGGGTCATGAAACTTTTCAAAAATGACTAAGTCGTTATCTTTAAAATAAGAGTCTAAAATTCACCAAAACTGCCCGAAATGTTCTTCGGAACGTTAAGTAAGACTCTTTCGGTTGTGTCGAGTAAAAAAAAAATTTTCAAAAATTTCAGATTTTCTGAACTTTTTTGCAGGTCCGGGGTCATGAAATTTTTCAAAAATTACTAAGTCGTTATCTTTAAAATAAGAGCCTATAATTCACCCAAACTACCCGAAAAGTTCTTCGGAACGTGTATTAAGACTCTCTTGGTTGTTTTGAGTAAAAAAGTTTTTTTGAAAAATTCAGATTTTTTTAACTTTTTTGCTGGTCCGAGGTCATGAAATTTTTCAAATATGACTGAGTCCTTATCTTTATAATAAGTGCCTAAAATTCACCAAAACTGCCCGAAATGTTTTTCGCAACGTGTTTTAAGACTCTCTTGTTTGTTTCAAGTAAATAAAGATTTTTGAAAAATTTCAGATTTTTTGAACTGTTTTGCAGGTCCGGGGTCATGAAACTTTTCAAAAATGACTAAGTCCTTTTTTTTTAAAATAAGAGCCCAAAATTCACCAAAACTGCCCGAAGTTTTCTTCGGAACGTTAATTAATACTCTCTTGGTTGTTTTGAGTAAAAAAATTTTTTTGAAAAATTCAGAACTTTTTCGTGTTTTTCAAGCTTTAGCCTCAACCTTTTCAGGTATATTATTTCTTACTTTTTTCCAGATATCTCTTGGAGTTTCAACCAAAGGTCATCAAAACATTTTAAAAAGGTATTTTCTTAGCATTTCTGGTTCTTTAGAGTGAAAGAAAATTTTCGAAAAATTTCAGATTTTTTGAACTTTTTTTCAGGTCCGGGGTCATGAAACTTTTCAAAAATGACTAAGTGCTTATCTTTAAAATAAGAGCCTAAAATTCACCGAAACTACCCGAGATGTTTTTAGCAACGTATATTTAGACTCTCTTGGTTGTTTCGAGTAAAAAAAAATTTTTGAAAAATTTCAGATTTTTTTAACTTTTTTGCTAGTCCGAGATCATGAAATTTTTCAAAAATGACTAAGTCCTTATCTTTAACATAAGAGCCTAAAATTCACCGAAACTGCCCGAAATGTTCTTCGGAACGTTAATTAATACTCTCTTGGTTGTTTTGAGTAAAAAAATGTTTTTGATCAATTCAGAACTTCTTCGTGTTTTTCAAGCTTTAGCCTCAACCATTACAGGTATTTTATTTCTTACTTTTTTCCAGATATCTCTTCGAGATTCAACCAAAGGTCATCAAAACATTTTAGAAAGGTATTTTCTTGGCATTTTCCGTTCTTTTGAGTAAAAATAAATTTTTGAAAAATTTCAGATTTTTTGAACTTTTTTGCAGGTCCGAGGTCATGAAACTTTTCAAAAATGACTAAGTCCTTATCTTTAAAATAAGTGCCTAAAATTCACCAAAACTGCCCGAAATGTTTTTCGTAAGGTGTATTAAGACTCTCTTGGTTGTTTCGAGTAAAAAAAATTTTGAAAAATTTCAGATATTTTGAACTTTTTTGCAGGTCCGGGGTCATGAAACTTTTCAAAAATGACTAAATCCTTATCTTTAAAATAAGTGCCTAAAATTCACCAAAACTGCCCGAAATGTTTTTCGCAACGTGTTTTAAGACTCTCTTGTTTGTTTCGAGTAAATAAAGATTTTTGAAGAATTTCAGATTTTTTGAACTTTTTTGCAGGTCCGGGGTTATGAAACTTTTCAAAAATGACTAAGTCCTTTTTTTTTAAAATAAGTGCCAAAAATTCACCAAAACTGCCCGAAATGTTTTTCGTAAGGTGTATTTAGACTCTCTTGGTTGTTTTGAGTAAAAAAGTTTTTTTGAAAAATTTCAGATTTTTTTAACTTTTTTGCTAGTCCGAGATCATGAAATTTTTCAAAAATGACTAAGTCCTTATCTTTAACATAAGAGCCTAAAATTCACCGAAACTGCCCGAAATGTTCTTAGGAACGTTAATTAATACTCTTTTGGTTGTTTTGAGTAAAAAAATGTTTTTGATCAATTCAGAACTTCTTCGTGTTTTTCAAGCTTTAGCCTCAACCATTACAGGTATTTTATTTCTTATTTTTTTCCAGATATCTCTTCGAGATTCAACCAAAGGTCATCAAAACATTTTAGAAAGGTATTTTCTTGGCATTTTCCGTTCTTTTGAGTAAAAATAAATTTTTGAAAAATTTCAGATTTTTTGAACTTTTTTGCAGGTCCGGGGTCATGAAACTTTTCGAAAATGACTAAGTCCTTATCTTTAAAATAAATGCCTAAAATTCACCAAAACTGCCCGAAATGTTTTTCGCAACGTGTATTAAGACTCTCTTGTTTGTTTCGAGTAAATAAAGATTTTTGAAAAATTTCAGATTTTTTGAACTTTTTTGCAGGTCCGGGGTCATGAAACTTTTCACAAATGACTAAGTCCTTTTTATTAAAATAAGAGCCTAAAATTCATCGAAACTACCCGAGATGTTTTTAGCAACGTGTATTTAGACTCTCTTGGTTGTTTTGAGTAAAAAAAAATTTTCAAAAATTTCAGAATTTTTGAACTTTTTTGCAGGTCCGGGGTCATGAAAGTTATTAAAAATGACTAAGTCCTTATCTTTAAAATAAGAGCCTGAAATTCACCAAAACTACCCGATTTGTTTTTTGCAATGTTTATTGAGACTCTCTTGGTTGTTTCAAGTAAAAAGAAATTTTTGAAAAATTTTTTGAACTTTTTTGCAGGTCTGGGGTCATGAAATTTTTTCAAGAATCAGTTAGTCCTTTTCTTTAAAATAAGAGCCTAAAATTCACCGAAACTACCCGATTTGTTTTTTGCAATGTTTATTGAGACTCTCTTGGTTGTTTCAAGTAAAAAGAAATTTTTGAAAAATTTTTTGAACTTTTTTGCAGGTCCGGGGTCATGAAATTTTTTCAAGAATCAGTTAGTCCTTTTCTTTAAAATAAGAGCCTAAAATTCACCAAAACTACCCGATTTGTTTTTTGTAATGTTTATTGAGACTCTCTTGGTTGTTTCAAGTAAAAAAAAATTTTTGAAAAATTTTTTGAACTTTTTTGCTGGTCCGGGGTCATGAAATTTTTTCAAGAATCAGTTAGTCCTTTTCTTTAAAATAAGAGCCTAAAATTCACCGAAACTACCCGTTTTTTTGGCAACGTGTATTGAGACTCTTTTGGTTGTTTCGAGTAAAAAAAATTTTTGGAAAATTTCAGATTTTTTGAACTTTTTTGCCGGTCCGGGGTCATGAAACTTTTCAAAAATGACTAAGTCGTTATCTTTAAAATAAGAGCCAAAAATTAACCAAAACTACCCGATTTGCTTTTTGCAATGTTTATTGAGACTCTCTTGGTTGTTTCAAGTAAAAAAAATTTTTAAAAAATTTTTTGAACTTTTTTGCAGGTCCGGGGTCATGAAATTTTTTCAAGAATAAGTTAGTCCTTTTCTTTAAAATAAGAGCCTAAAATTCACCGAAACTACCCGTTTTTTTGGCAACGTGTATTGAGACTAATTTGGTTGTTTCGAGTAAAAAAAAATTTTTGGAAAATTTCAGATTTTTTGAACTTTTTTACAGGTCCGGGGTCATGAAACTTTTCAAAAAGGACCAAGTCCTTTCTTTTAAATGAGAGCCTAAAATTCACCAAAACTGCCCGAAATGTTTTTCGCAACGTGTATTAAGACTCTCTTGTTTGTTTCGAGTAAATAAAGATTTTTGAAAAATTTCAGATTTTTTGAACTTTTTTGCAGGTCCGGGGTCATGAAACTTTTCACAAATGACTAAGTCCTTTTTATTAAAATAAGAGCCTAAAATTCATCGAAACTACCCGAGATGTTTTTAGCAACGTGTATTTAGACTCTCTTGGTTGTTTTGAGTAAAAAAAAATTTTCAAAAATTTCAGAATTTTTGAACTTTTTTGCAGGTCCGGGGTCATGAAAGTTATTAAAAATGACTAAGTCCTTATCTTTAAAATAAAAGCCTAAAATTCACCGAAACTACCTGAAATGTTCTTCGGAACGTGCATTAAGACTGTCGCGGTTTTTTCGACCAAAAAAAATTCTTTGAAAAATATGAGATTTTTCGAACTTTTATGCAGGTCCGGGGTCATGAAACTTTTCAAAAATGACTAAGTCTTTATCTTCAAAATAAGAGCCTGAAATTCACCAAAACTACCCGATTTGTTTTTTGCAATGTTTATTGAGACTCTCTTGGTTGTTTCAAGTAAAAAAAAATTTTTGAAAAATTTTTTGAACTTTTTTGCAGGTCTGGGGTCATGAAATTTTTTCAAGAATCAGTTAGTCCTTTTCTTTAAAATAAGAGCCTAAAATTCACCGAAACTACCCGATTTGTTTTTTGCAATGTTTATTGAGACTCACTTGGTTGTTTCGAGTAAAAAAAATTTTTGGAAAATTTCAGATTTTTTGAACTTTTTTGCCGGTCCGGGGTCATGAAACTTTTCAAAAATGACTAAGTCGTTATCTTTAAAATAAGAGCCAAAAATTAACCAAAACTACCCGATTTGTTTTTTGCAATGTTTATTGAGACTCTCTTGGTTCTTTCAAGTAAAAAAAAATTTTTGAAAAATTTTTTGAACTTTTTTGCAGGTCCGGGGTCATGAAATTTTTTCAAGAATCAGTTAGTCCTTTTCTTTAAAATAAGAGCCTAAAATTCACCGAAACTACCCGTTTTTTGGCAACGTGTATTGAGACTCTTTTGGTTGTTTCGAGTAAAAAAAAATTTTTGGAAAATTTCAGATTTTTTTGAACTTTTTTACAGGTCCGGGGTCATGAAACTTTTCAAAAATGACTAAGTCCTTTTTTTTAAATGAGAGCCTAAAGTTGACCGAAACTATCCGAATGTTCTTCGGAACGTGTATTATGACTCTCTTGGTGGTTTCGATAAAAAAAAAATTCTTTGAAAAATTTTACATTTTTTAAACTTTTTTGCAGGTCCAGGGTCATGAAATTTTTCGAAAATGACCAAGTCCTTATATTGAAAATGAAAGCCCAAAATTTACCGAAACTACCCGAAATGTTCTTCGGAACGTTTATTAAGACTTTCTGGGTTGTTTCGAGTAAGAACAATTCATTTGATAAATTCTTTTCTTTTAACTTTTTTGCGGGTCTGGGGTCATGAAATTTTTCAATAATGTTTAAGTCCTTATCTTCAATATAAATAAAGTCCATCTAAATATATAAAGGTGGACTTTAACAGATCAAGAATTACCTTGCAAATATCATCTCGTCTTTCTTACAAACTTTGATGCCCGTGGCAACGATTGTCCAACACCATCTCAAGATCTCACGCGAAATCTATATAATTTTTGCACGAAAAAGAAGTTACCAGGGGCGTACCAAGGTAAAAGTTGCTGGCTGTTTTTGAGGAAACCATCGAAAATGGTCGGCTTTGCGGTGAAAGTTAGGATAAGGCAACATTTCAAAAAGTTATTTGGAGGGTTCAAGGAGTTTTGATATACTAAGAAACGATAGGAAGAAAAGCTGAGAGATATGTCCCAATCTGAAGAAAATTATGTTGCATAAGCTTAAACATTAGACAACGACACCAGAAAATTGATTAAAACCAACAAATCGCTTTCAATCTGTAAATATTTATTTCAGAGAAAGCTAGCATTATTGAAATCGGCTCCAAAATGTGCATTTTCCAGCAAACTACAATCCTGGCCGACAATAGATGGAACATTTTAACAATAAAATAATTTGCGTGCTATATCTTCATATTATATGCGCTGGTGACCTAAACCCCCTTCCCCATGGGGTCAATGTTGGTTAAGATGGTTACGGAATAAGTGGGGATTACTATATCGGTTACCAATCAAATCACAACATTGATTTTAGGGGAAGGGGGCGGGTGATATGTAAGTAGCTTCTTTTTTGCAAGTATCTCAGCATTTTTAGCCAAGATTGTAGAAGTATCAAAATTCAAGAGTTTTCTCTACCCTCAGGTCTAAAGGGTTGGAAGTTCTGAGATTATTATGTATATAGATGTGAGTCGACACTTTGTATTGCGCGCGGGACTGTGTCAGCAACTAACGAATTTCAGGTAATTTTTTTCAATCAGGCAAATTTGTAGTAAACCCAAGCAAGGTCTGCCTCTGACCGGCCTTTGGGCCATATTTTGAAGAAAGCTTATGGGTATTGTCCAGGATCTTCCATGGGTCTAGAGCAATGTTGTAAATATTTGGATGTATTTTCTGACCATCTCTAGAAGGTCTTCTTTGCAAATTTTTGCCGCCAACCATGGTCACGGCCTTCACTAAACTCCTGAACGATCTACTGCCCCCTACCTACCGGCACATTGTATCTTAAAGCAGACATTTTCTCGGATGTGCAGAATTATGATATTTTGTCAAATGTATGGCAATTTGGTGGCAATTTCAAATTTCCCATTCGCATATTATGCGATAAGAACAGGAAGTTTCTCCCTACTTTGCTGCAAAAATTTTTTTGGCTGACCTACTCTAGAGTCTTGGATGGTGCTTTTTGTTTGCCATGTGTACTTTTTGGTCGAAGAATTGGAACAAATGCTGCAAAGCTAGACAAACTAATGAAAAGCCCCTTTGTTGATTGGTCTTGTTCCTCCCATGGATTCCAGGATCATAAAAGAAAGTCTCATGTTTACAAAACATCAGTGCTAACAGTGCATCAATATATTCTTGTTATAGGAAATAAAGTGAAGTCTGTCAGCCACATACATGACCATCTACAAAATAAAAAGGTTGAAGAAAACAGACTTATTCTTGCATCCTTAGTCATGATAGTGCTTCTTTGTGGAAGATTCAACATACCTTTTCATGGACATAGAGATGATTCTGGTTTTTATGAAACAGTTTATTGTGGAATTTTTCCAGCTCTCTTGGATTTTCGTGTGGATAGAGGTGACAAGGTTCTTTAAAATCTTTTTACAACTGTCCCAAGAAATGCTACATAGAGGTCCAAAACAACACAGAAAGAGCTGATCATTTGCTGTGCTCAAGTCATAACTAAACAAATAATTAATGTTATAAAAGAGTCAGAGTATTTCTCAATCCTGGCTGATGAAGTTACTGATTGTTCTAATAAAGAGCAAATGCAACTTGTTATTCGTTCTGTTAATCGATCTGGTTGCATCAAGGAAAGGTTTCTTAAATACATACTTTGTAACATTGGGACTTTAGGAAAAGCTTTAGCAGTGAAAGTTGTTGACTATATTACGAATGACTTTTGGCTTAGATTTGCATAGCTGTAGAGGGCAATGATCGATGGTGCAGCAATCGTGTGAGGCAAATATTCTGGTGTTTCTACAAGAATTTTAGAGCAGAATGAATTTGTTTTATATACACTTTGCTCTTCCCATAGGCTGAATTTGTGTGTAGCGAGCTCATGTCAAATACAATCAGTTAGGAACATGATGGGAAATGTTAAGTCATTTCAAAGTTTTTTGACAATTCTCCACAAAACAGAATACTTTAGAGAAGATGATAATACGGTTTCATCCAAATGGGAAAGAAACCAAATTGGTAGATGTTTGTCGAACTTGTTGGATAATGCTCATTGATAGTCTTTAACGTTTCATCAAGATTTATAAAGCAATATCTGAAGCTTTGATTGCAATTTATCATCTGTGTTGACAACTGACAACTGAGAAACTGACAACACCTGGACGTCTTCTGCAGCAGAAGCCTATGGGTTGGCAGCTATTGTGACAAGCTTTGAATTTATCAAAACGCTTGAAACTGTCAGAAAATGCATTGGCCACACTCTTTCAGCTGCAAGGAGCCCTCATTGACCTTCTGAAAGGACTGAGAAAAATTAATGTTATGGTGACGACACAGCAAATTGCACGGAATCAAGATGATTTTTATCACAGTGCTTGGTTCAGCAAAGCTAGTGAAATGGCAGAAGATGTTGGTGCTGACATATAGGTTCGGGGAGTTTGCAGAAGTCAGCAAAATTGGTCAAATATACCCTAAGATGACATCGAGAATCATTATAAGCTGAATGCAGCCATCGCATTTTTACTCTCTCATAACAGAGATGACAAATGACAAAAATGTTTTCCTCTGAAAAATTGCACTGCGTTGAAAGGAATGTTCATCATCCAAGTTTATTTCAAAAGAGAAGGCCAATCACACATGGTGCCAAGCGAAAGCACGATGCTTCAACTAACCATGATTGAAAGGGCGAAGCCAAAAGCCCAAATAAGCTTCCAGCGCCTTGACAAGAAGTGGAAAAAATGCTTTCTTCAATTTTGTATTTTCTATGCACGTGATTTTCCATGTCCTGATAACCTCGCACATGAAGTCGAGTTTGGCAAGTTTAAATACCCATCGGGACAAACAAGAGCACATTTTGTTCTAGACCAATCAACGGGTTTGTTTACAAAATGTCATTAGCCAATCACCGGCCTCCATTTCGAGCTTGATTTTCGAATGTTTCAAACCAAAACACAGTTGCTGTGGAGAAAAACCTACCCCAATACTTTTGCCCGGGAAAAAAATTTACGTTCTTTAACCTGGAAGATTTTTCAAACTTAGTTTCTAGAGTATTTGTTTCGTACAAATCTCGGAGCCCTAAGCAGAAACACAAACGGTGTCTAAAATATCTGCATTGAAACATCACCTATTGCCCACCAGAGACCTACCTCCAAAAATGGCCAGCCCCTAATTTACTTTATATGAAGCTTTCGTTAATCAAACAAGGAAACATTTTAAGATTTAAGTTACCTGATAGTTTGCGCAAGCAAATCACCCAGCTATCACTTGGAAATAATGTATTTTCTTAAAAAAACTAGGCTTTATAATTGCCTATTCCCTCCTCTACACTACCGCACGGGATGCCTAGGCCCTTTCTGAACATTCCTCCTGAGCATCACAGTCAATGAAACTCAAACCACTTTTGTGAAGCCATTAGACATCAGTCTATAGTTTGAAGCCAAGAAGGCCAAAATATTGGCAATACTTTCAATTCAATTTTTGAGGGATAACATCTTTTTAAAAAGTAACAAAGACCCACTTTTTCTAGACAGTCTCAAAGCCTTGAAACCTTACTGATACCTGCTAAAATGTTTTTAGAACAAGGCACGATAACTTTAGAAATATCTTTGCTAAATTTGATCATATTGGTTCTCAAACAACTAAATGTGATTTAGCAAAGATATTTCTAAAGTTATCGTGCCTTGTTCTAAAAACATTTTAGCAGGTATCAGTAAGGTTTCAAGGCTTTGAGACTGTCTAGAAAAAGTGGGTCTTTGTTACTTTTTAAAAAGATGATATCCCTCAAAAATTGAATTGAAAGTATTGCTAATATTTTGGCCTTCTTGGCTTCAAACTATAGACTGATGTCTAATGGCTTCACAAAAGTGGTTTGAGTTTCATTGACTGTGGTGCTCAGGAGGAATGTTCAGAAAGGGCCTAGGCATCCCGTGCGGTAGTGTAGAGGAGGGAATAGGCAATTATAAAGCCTAGTTTTTTTAAGAAAATACATTATTTCCAAGTGATAGCTGGGTGATTTGCTTGCGCAAACTATCAGGTAACTTAAATCTTAAAATGTTTCCTTGTTTAATTAACGAAAGCTTCATATAAAGTAAATTAGGGGCTGGCCATTTTTGGAGGTAGGTCTCTGGTGGGAAATAGGTGATGTTTCAGTGCAGATATTTTAGACACCGTTTGTGTTTCTGCTTAGGGCTCCGAGATTTGTACGAAACAAATACTCTAGAAACTAAGTTTGAAAAATCTTCCAGGTTAAAGAACGTAAATTTTTTTCCCGGACAAAAGTATGGGGGTAGGTTTTTCTCCACAGCAACTGTGTTTTGGTTTGAAACATTCAAAAATCAAGCTCGAAATGGAGGCCGGTGATTGGCTAATGACATTTTGTAAACAAACCCGTTGATTGGTCTAGAACAAAATGTGCTCTTGTTATCGGGACATTAAAGTCAACTTCGCAGAGACAATGAAGCGATACGCAATGAAGCCTTAACAAGCATCCTTCAGTCAGAATGTTCTTTTTTATGGAGCAGGACAACATTTTAACATCCGGTATGTACTTATCTTCCATACCGATATATCTTATTCTTATTATTGTTCCTCGCCATTTGCAGTCGAGTTATTCTTTAGATTTTTTTAAGTCTCCTCTTTGTCGAGTCTCATGATGTTGTTATGCACACTTTGACCACACTGGAAAAAAATATTTTTGGCCTACAACAGCAGTACTTACACCAAATTTTGGCATACACTAAAAACCCACGTGTAAGAACCGGGTTTTTTTCAATTAGCTTGAATAGGTTCCTATTGAGTGGTACTTAAAGTGAATTTAGGCAGCCAAGGTTCTTATAATAGATTCTTATGTTAATGTAACAAAATCATGATTTTACTCTAACAACTTTGCAAATGCTGAATATTAAGAGAATTCATTTGAATGATCGAAACAATAGGCACAGTATTGTTCTTTAGCTTCAAAGAAATATTGTGTTGCCAAGGTAAGATATAGGCAGATAATAATGCTTTGCTCAACAGTTTCCACCTAGAAACCTTTACAGCAGCCCCACTGGTAAGAACCTAACTTGAAGTTTTAGCCTGAAAAGGTTCTTATGTGTAGGAGACCTGAATTCGAAATTTTAGTCTAACAGGTTCTTAAAACTTGGGTTCTCAATCGCGGGATTTTCCTGTATTTTTTCGGAAAAATGTTTGTATGATTGCTTTGGCGTGGCGTGAATGGCCTTTTTTAAAATTGAAAATTCGCTGATATGGCGTGGTATTTAAAAAAAGTTATCTAAAGCTTTATACACTGTATGTCTCAGCGCATTCACTTTGAACCCTTACTGTTTTCATTAGGGGGGGGGGAGTATGAAGTTTAGATTCCCGACGATTAGATTCCCGACGAAAGGGCGTGTCATGCTTGATGAAAGGGCGTGTCATGCCTGAACATTATTTTTGGCGCACATCGCCTCAAAGTGTTGAAATCCTCGGGGACCCCGAGAGAGGGTCACTAAGTATGTTAGGCCTTCAGTCTCGGGCTCTTTTTCAAAGTCAAAAAATATGCCTCTAGTTTTTCTGGTTTTGGTTACAAACATTTGTTTCCAAAAACCAAGCATTTGTAAGGCCTGTCTTTTCTATAAAAGAAAAATAGTCTTCACTTTCTAAACCACCTGGCTATAAATGGAGCAATTTAGAAAAGAGATTGAAGTAGGGTCTCAATTTTATCAACAAAACACAGCTTGGAAAATTCGGGATTTAGAAACAGCTACGCAGACTACATTGTTTCAACAAAAAAGAGCTTCAGTTGCATTTTCTGAGTTTGAGATTCAACTTTCGTCTGTTCCGCAAGAAATTTAAACATTCTAAGAAACCCAAGCACAAAGTAGGTATCTCTGAATTTACTGTAACAAAATCCCTCAACCTCGTGCAAAGAAAAGCTTTTTTATTGGAAATATTTTACAGGTGCACCTATCATCAAAGGTCAATTGTCGTGTTTTCGTAATCATGGATATTGTTCAGAAATAGAAGAAACTCGAACGTTATTCGCACTTCAAATCTTAATTACAATTCCTTGATAAATTTTCTTTTATTTCCCGCTTGAACTGTCGGCTTAAAACTTTCTGTTACTTGTTACAGCTATACGAAACTTTGACGGTGTCGGAACTTTTCCATTGCTTTCGGGCATTTTTCCTCTAACCATAATTGTTACACGTAGTAGATCAATTATTTGCTATAAATACAGAATTGTGTAGTGAAAATTGTTTTTCCTACGGTTCATTAAGATGGATCGCATGGTGAACTCGTTAGGATCGCGGGAGAACCCTTACATTGCTTGTTTACTCCATAACTTGGCTACAGATACATGTTTAGGTAAATTTAGTTATAAGCGTTCAGCGTGTTATAGGCATGCAGCGTTATTTCTACATAAAAATTGCTGTTAATTAGCTTTAGATGACGTAAAACTGCACATGTTATTCTTGCTTCTTATTGGTAGTTAAATTTGGAGAATTTTTGTAGCGTTACTCAGAACCAGGGACTGTAGATTTAAAAGAGAGCGTGTTAATTGTGAATTCAGATGCATCGTACGATGTAAACACGATGGTTGATACCAATGAAGAAGAAAGCAGAGCAGAATTGTCTTGTTTTTCTTCAGCGTTCATCTTTAGATACTTCAACAAATCTTTAGAATTAGCAACTGGGGAGTTTATAGTCCCAAAGACTGGTCCACCGAGCGAAAATTGGAAGTAAACACATGCGATGGTTGAACTGCCGAAGTTGAAGAGAATCCGAGGAGGCCACAGAAGTTTTTCGTCTAGGCTGATAGCAAGAGTTGAAGACAGCAAAGACGATGCGAAGAGCTTGAGGCAACTGGAAATTCAACTGAAAGAACAGCTAGAGACCCTGAAACCACTCGATGAGAAAATCCTCAATTTGATGGTCAGCGAGGCTAGAGATGATGACGAAGCCAATGACGAGCTAACTAGAGAAATAGAGGAATGCGGTAGCTTCAGAGTAAAGGTAAATTTGGCAATTATTACCATCAAGGACTATTTAAAACACTTTTATGAAGAGTCAACTCTAAATTTAAGACGAAGCGATTCTCAAATTTCCACAGACAGTTTAAATTCAAGTAGCTCTTCGTCATTCCGTAAAGTAAGAGCCAAACTGCCAAAACTAGAGCTGAAAAAGTTTTCGGGAAGGCACAAGACTGGCAGGAATTTTGGGAAGGGTTTGTCAGTGCAGTACATGGAAATGAAGAACTTTCCGTAGTCGATAAATTTGCCTATTTATGGTATTATTTTGAAGATTCAGCTAGAAAGTCATTTCAGGATTCGAGCTAACAGAAAAACATTATCAAGCTGCATTAGATTTATTAAAGCAACGATTCGCAAAACCTTCGTTAATTAAAAAGGCGCATATCAAGGATCTTATTTATGCTCCAGTAGTATTTAACGAAAGGAATGTTCCTAGGATGCGTGAATTATACGATACAATTGAAACGCACTTCAGAGGGTTAGAAGCGCCCGGTGTAGATCAAGATAGTTTTGCGACGATAATTCTACCTACACTAATGGAAAAAATACCCGAGCCCGTTAGATTAAACATGATAAGAGGGGGAAAAAATTTTGAAGAATGGGACATTGAAACAATGCTCGTATCTTTTCCCCACGAGTTGAATGTTAGGGAACAAAACTTCTCCATGCTCTCAGAAAAGCCGGTAACGAAACGAGACGATGGATTCAAACCGAGGCAACCGACCAAAACATCAGCAAGTGCACTCTTGTCGGGTAACGAAGGCGATAAAAATTGGAAGATAGCTTGCGCATACTGCTTCGAAGACCACGAAGAATTGGATTGCAGCAAGGTGCAAGACATCGAAGAACGTAAAAAAATTATTTTGCGTAGCGGTAGATGTTTTTGTTGTTTAAAAAAAGGTCATCGTCGATTTTGATACATGGCTCGATAGCTTGCCCAAAGTTCTTTCCATGTGTCCATCAGCCTAAAATTGTTTAATTCTCATTGCTGTTCTATAAAATATTGCGGTTGACCATTCATTGTTATTTAGCCATATTAACTTGGATATTTTATATTTAGTATAATTATGTTGACCGGTATATTGTAATTAATCAATTTTATGTTGAAAAAATATTTTGAGCTTGAGTTGAGTTTGAGTTCATCGTGCTTCTAAATGCAAGAGTTAAGGTTGTTTGCAAATTTGGTAAGTTTAAACATCACTCATCTATTTGCACTCGTAATACCACGCTGTGTTGGACAAGACTTCTCCTAAGCCCAGCGCGCCACCCAATTTAATAAGCACCACATCCTGTGTAGAGAAGGTTGACAGCGGGGGGCGAGCGGCATTGCAGACAGCCCAGGCTATTGTTGTAGGTAAACCACAAGTGGGGGCAAGAGTTTTTTTTGATACAGGTTCTCACAAGACTTTTGTTACTCGGGGGTTAGTAGATCATTTAGCTCTAAAGCCCATTAAAAGGGAAATCATTGGGATTAAGACCTTTGGTTCCAACAATGTGGATGAAGGCATGAGAGAGATTGTGGAGATAAAGTTGCTGCCAGTGAGAGGAGAGGGATCTGCAGTTAAATTAAATGCCTTTGTTGTTGATCATATCTCTGAAATCTCAAATGTTCACCCTGAAATTGTTAAACATGAATACGCTCATCTTGCAAATGTTTGGTTTTCAGATGTAGCTTGTTTTCAGGATTCATTAGAAGTAGACATTTTGATTGGAATAGATTTTTTTACGAATTTCAAGAGGACAAGGTAATTCGAGGGGAGCCAGGACAACCAGTGGCAGTAAAAACAAAACTTGGTTGGGTTCTTTCTGGACCATTAGATGGTACGAACTTTCTTTATACTGAAAATGTGAACACAAACTTGATTGTTGATTCCTCATGTTACCTAGCAAGTCAGACAAATGTACAAATGGATCATGAAATTCAAAAATTATGGGACTTGGAGACTTTAGGCATAAAGAATACTGATGAAGTTTATGCTAACCTTCTTGACAACGTTGCATTCACAGGTGAAAGGTATTCAGTAAAGCTGCCTTGGGAGATGGGGCACAAACCTCTTCCATCTAATTTTGCACCTAGCCTTTCCAGGTTGAAAGGGCAATTAAAGAAGTTAAGGAAAGAGCCAAAAGTCCTTGAATCTTATGACCAAATTATCAAGGAGCAGTTGGACCAGCACATAATTGACAAGGTGACAGAGCTGGAAGTGCCTGAGAAACAACATATCTTACCTCATCATGCAGTGATTTGAAGTGAAGCCGAAACCACAAAGGTAAGAATTGTTTTTGATGCTTCTTCCAAGGAACACAAGAGCTATGCATCATTGAATGATTGTCTTCATGTAGGCCCGCCACTTACTCCATTGTTCTTTGATATTTTATTGAGATTTCGTGAATTTAAGGCTCCTATGGTTGCGGACATTGTGAAAGCCCTTCTAAATGTTGAAATTGACCCCTCAGATAGAGATGTACACAGATTTCTTTGGGTAAAGGATATGAAAGACCCTAATTCACCTATTGAAGTATATCAATTTAACAGAGTTGTATTTGGAGTTAATTCATCATCGTTTTTGTTGAATGCTGTCCTCAGATATCACTTGTCTAACTATCGAGAGGTGGAACCAGAGCTCTCATCAAAGCTTTCTAAGAGTTTCTTTGTAGATGACCTAGTATGTGGGGCAGAAAACTTGTCAGATGCTAAGGAGTTGTGTATTAAGTCAAGGCAGAGAATGAGAGAGGGGGGGTTTAACCTCAGAAAATGGAAATCAAGCAATACAGAGCTACAGAAGGAGTTCCAGTTAAAAAAGACAGGCAAATAGTGAGAGTGAAGAAACTTATGCTAAGGAAACATTGGGTGTAGCAACACAAGAAGGTAAAACTAAGGTTTTAGGTGTAGCATGGGACAAAATATCTGATAAGTTTGAGTTTGATTTAAAGAATTTTGGAAACTTAGAAAGTAAGGTCACAATTACAAAGCGAGTGATGTTGAGTAGTCTTGCTAAGCTTTTTGATCCACTAGGATTTTTAAGCTCATTGACAGTCAATGCAAAGATTCTTTTTCAGGAATTGTGTTTGCAAAAATTAGACTGGGATGATGAAATACCAGATAAGCAAAGGAAGAAATGGGAAAGCTGAGTCAATGATTTTCATTCTGTAGGCATAATTTCCTTGCCACGATGTCTTTGTGACAAGACTAAGGACAATATTAGAAATTGCACTCTACATGGATTTGCTGATGCCAGCAAAAAGGCTTATTGTGCAATGGTGTATCTTGTATATGAGACTGATCAAGGCATTTTTTCTAATCTCGTCTGTGCGAAAACTTGTGTTGCACCCCTTAAGGAATTGAGTATCCCTAGGCTTGAATTGATGTCAGCTAAGATTTTAGCTACATTAATGAATGTTGTTGACACAGCCTTGAGTTTGCAGGTAGAAGTCAAGGAACGTTTTTGCTGGTAAGAAGCAAAACAGCACTGTTTTGGATCAATAATGCTGGTCATTGGAAACAGTTTGTCCAGCACCCTGTCGAAGAGATCCTCAAACTTTCAAGCAAGGAAAACTGGGGCCATTGTGTAGGAATCTGCAACCCAGCAGACATTGGCTCAAGGGGAGCGCTACCAAGTACACTCAAGGATAATAGACTTTGGTGGCATGGACCTCATTGGCTTTTGCTTGACAGAAAATACTGGCCCTCAGAAACCTTGTTAGAAAACAGTGAAGAAGTTCCAGCAGAGAGAAAAAATTCAGCAGCAGTTACAACAATGGTACAAGAAACTCCACATGGTATGTCTCAACTTATCAAGATTAACAAATTCAGTTAATTAGATCATTTGTTGAGAGTTACATCGTGGGCCTTACGGTTTATCTCAAATCTGAAGGCAAAAAGGGCAAGGAGACCAATTAACACTAATGAACTAGATGCTTCAGAAATTTTATCTGCAGAAGCCTATTGGATTGTTGATGCTCAAGAAATGTTGCAAAGGGATTCAAAGTATAAACAACTTGCTATAAATTTATTTAGGCATCTTTAAGGAAGGTAAATTGTTAAGATGCAAGGGAAGGTTAGGAAACTCTGACATAGATTTTGAAGGTAAATTCCCCATAATTTTGCCAAGCCATCATAGATTGACAGAGTTGATTGTTCATGCTTGTCACAAAAAAGTCCATCATGATGGTTTGAAATCTACTCTTGCTGAACTTAGGGCATGATTTTTGGTGCCAAGGGGTAGGCAATATGTAAAGACATTGATTAACAGTTGTGTTAAATGTAAGCAGGTCCAAGGAAAAGCTTATTCGTCTGCACAAGCTGGAGATTTGCCCCTTTTTAGGGTACAAGAGACCAAACCTTTTTCTAATGTGGGTATTGACTTTGCAGGTCCGTTGTATTATAAGTCGAAATCAAATGAAATGCAGGAACGTTATATTGTGCTTTACGTTTGCTGTACTACCAGAGCTTTACATCTAGATCTTGTAACTGATCTTGCTGGTTCTGCCTTTATTCTTAGTTTAAGAAGATTTGCAGCGCTGAGGGGCACTCCAGATATAATAAATACGGACAATGCGCAAACGTTCAAATTTACTCATAAGTTTTTTGATAAACCTACACGTGACCACTCAGTGTTACCAAATTTTCAAGCAAAAAGGATTGTATGGAAGTTCAATTTGGAAAGCTCACCCTGGTGGGGGGGGGGGCATTTTGAAAGAATGGTAGGTATGGTAAAACGGTGTTTGAAAAAGGTGTTAGGAAATGCTAGAATGACATTTGATGAACTTCTTACTGTGCTTGTTGAGATACAATCTACTTTAAACAACAGGCCAATGACATATTTATATGATGAACTTGGTTATCAACTTTTGACACCATCTCATTTAATTTATGGTAGGAGACTTCCTCAGAAATCTGAGACCCCGTTTGCACTGTCCCGTGCAAGTTTGGAACCGTGACAAAACTGTCGCGGTTCGCCCTTCCGTTTACACTAGCACTGTGGAACCGTGACGATTTTGCTCTGCTATCCGGAACAGTTTGGACCCTGCTTTGAAAGCGAACGAATTTTGTACCGTCACGGTTCCGTTTTTGAACGGGACAGTGTAAACACCTATCCGAGACGATTTTGTCACGGATTCACAAAGAGGTCTTTTGTATGGCTGTTTGAGGTAATCGAGGCTTTGATTGTGGCGTAACTACGTTGTCAATTTCTGAAGAAAAGGAAATTCTGAAGAAAAGACGACCACAGAAAAGGCTTGTATTGTTTCCCAGTCCAAGCCTTGATTGGACTTTGCAGTTTTGTAGTCTAAAATAACACTGAAAATTAAAGCCACCTTGTCGTTCGTCCAAGTAAAGTTTTTATCGGCCTTCCACTCCATTTTAACTCTCAATAAAAATTCTATTGTTGACTTCGGCGGCAAAATAAAAGCCTTGGTTGACTAAATACAGCGTCTACTAAACAATGTTCTGCCATTAAATTAAGGTTGTACCGGTACAGTGTAAATGGAACGGCTAAACGAAACAATTTGGAACCGCGACAGTGTAAACACTTGCGAACCGTAACGGTACAAAATTGTCCCGGGACAGTGTAAACGGGGTCTGAATGAATCGCTTGTAACTCTAATAATTTTGATGAAGATACCACATCTCATACCAAACGACTCTTGTATTTGCTTAAGAAACTAAACCACTTTTGGTCTCGATGGAAAACCGAGAATCTTGTAGATTTGCGAGAAGTGCATAAGAAGAATGGATTCAAGGAATCAAATGCTGCAGTCGGAGACATGGTACTAGTGAAGGAAGATGACGTGAAAAGAGGCCAATGGAAGATGGGCGTGATCTTTCAGTTAATCAAGGGAAAAGATGGAATAGTAAGAGGCGCAAAGGTCCGTGTAAACGGAAGAGGTAAGCCAGAATTTTTAAATAGACCTCTACAGAAATTATTTCCATTTGAAGTACAAAGCGGATTGGCGAGGAGAAACATTGTGGACGTGGAAAGTGGTAATGGGAAGGATCATGAGAATAAAGCGGAGGATCCGACCCCAGTATTCCCTGCTACTAGACCCAAGCGCGCCGCAGCTAAGGACTCGCAATGGAAAACTCGTCTTATTCTTGACTCAATATGAGTCAACAAGGGGAGTGTGTCGGAACTTTTCCATTGCTTTCGGGCATTTTTCCTCTAACCGTAATTGCTACACGAAGTTGGTAAATTATTTGCTATAAATACAGAATTGTGTAGTGATTAGTTGTTTTTCCTACGGTTCATTCAGATGGATCGCATGGTGAACTCGTTAGGATCGCGAGAGAACCCTTACATTGCTTGTTTACTCTATAACTTGGCTACAGATACATGTTTAGGTAAATTTAGTTATAAGCGTTCAGCGTGCTATAGGCATGCAGCGTTATTTCTACATAAAAATTGCTGTTAATTAGCTTTAGATGACGTAAAACTGCACATGTTATTCTTGCTTCTTATTGGTAGTTAAATTTGGAGAATTTTTGTAGCGTTGCTCAGAACCAGGGACTGTAGATTTAAACGACGTTGCTAAAACGAGGAACAAGCGGAACAACCTAGTAACAAGCGGAACAACCCAGTGACAACCCAGGAACAAGCGGAACAACCCAGTAACAACCCAGTAACAAGCGGAAATGTGAAGTTATTGTTTTGTAAATAACACATGGGGGCGTTGATAAGCCAACTCTCTAAAGTTCGCGTTCGTGGACCCATAATTCCGCAAAAATGATGCAAACTATGCCCATAATTCCGCAAGGCAATTTCATTTTGAAAGCACAACAAAATCATCAAACAAATTTTGCATGTCCTTCGCTAAAAATCTCAAAATTGCACATATTTCTTACTCTCATTTCTAACTGGACATTCATTTTGTTAATGCTCAATCTCCCTCCTAACAATTTTGCAGTATTTTTCGAAAATGGTACCCATAGTTCTGCACATATTTCAAAAACTGACATCGATAATTCCGCACTTTTCAGAAAAAGGTACCCCTAAAAAATGGCACGTCCCCCTACCTTCAAACTTGTTAAGGTACCCCCTCCCCCCCCTTCTTGTAGTAGGACGCTCCCCAGATCACATGACCTTTTATAATCACGTGACAAGTACTATTTAATCCGAAGCTTTGTAAAGCGTAGTTCAGTAATCTTCGTATCCTCGTTCAGTTAAGTTATAAATCTTGAATGATAATCAAGATATGAAAATGTAAAGAGTGTGTTTCCTTGCTCTACCATCTCAATAATATAAATAGAAGCACCTCTCACATCTGGTGGATGACCCGTTTTGTCACGATCGCCGTCCCGTATGTCGCAAGAAGAAACTCTCGGACTTATCAATGGTTTGGCCGCTGTTGCTAAAGAACAAAATGCATCCAATAAGTCAAGAACCGAAGAATTGAAATCACTTGCCTCTGCCGTAAAAGATTTATCCGACCTTATAAATCTTCAGTCGCAAACTTCTCCTGGTCATGCTGCTCTTCGCCTGCCGAACCTTACACTGCCTGAATATACAGGAATTGAAGATCTTGACCGTTTTCTGGACCAGTTCAACCAGGTTCTCCGATCTTCTGGTGCAAATCCGCAGTTTTATCTAACGTACCTCAAGCAACAGTGCCGAAAGGATAGCCGTGCCTTCGATATTCTTTGCAATTATGAGAGCACCCATCTCGTCCGATTGCCTGCATCTCCGACCTCTGATGACTATTACCAGTTTTACAATGCTGCACTAATGGTTCTTCACTCCCAACGTGGAATTCCAAAAGACCAGCAAATTCGCAATCTCTTGGCCACGTATTATACCATGCGCCAACAACACCACGAAAGCGTCTCCAACTTCGCACACCGGTTTTGTGAGACCCAACATTCCTTGGAGAAACTAATTCCAGGTATTCACATGACAGCCGATGGAAATGAAATCGAGTTGATTCATGCCTTTGCCCTCAAACTACGTGAGGATATTTCGCGGGTTCTTTTTGCTAGGGATTTCAACTACCCGACTTTAATGGCCCTGATTGAAGCTGCCAAACGATACGAGACCAAAACTACTTCAATCGCAGTTGACGAGCCTATTTCTACAGCCAATGCTTTACCCGTTACGCCTGTTTCTGCCTACCCAAGAAAAGCACCTGCACACAGTCAAGAAGCAACACCAAAACCTTCAGGTGAACTTTGCTTTCAATATAATAAATATCCCCGTGCCTTTTGTGAACTTTCTAATGGTAGATGTAAGAAAGGTTATATTCATAAGTGCACCAAATGTGGTCGCTTTAATTGTAAAGCTGTTCGTCATAATAGGACCAAGGCTATTTCGCATTATAATTCTGTTGAACCTAACTCACTCCATACGCATATTGCTAAGGTGGAACCGTCTGTCGATTCTGATACGACTTCTTTATTGAAATCTATCCACTCATTATTGCTCACGAGTAAAGAACATGTTGCACCGCCCAACGATGAGGCCGTCCCTCCCAAAGGGGGTTCGCAAGACAATGTTTATAGCATGCCTGCCATAAGTTTAGCTCCAGATAGTGTCACAATTTCTAATTTAGATCTTGCGAACCGTAATATTTTATGGTGTTCTGTTTCGTCAGCTGGGGTTTCTCTCCCTTTGCCTCTCGACACTTGCTGCTCAGTGTCTTTAGTTAGCAAAGCGCACGCTGATAAAGTTCTTGAAACACGCCCTGACCTCAAGTTTTCGCGCTTAGAGCAGCCCGTTAAGGTCTCTGTTGCCAGTCCCTCGGCCTCTTTTAAAGCCGTAGGTATAATGCAAGTTCCCTTGCAATTCGAAAATGGGCGTTCTGCAACTTTTTCTATGCTTGTCGTGCCAAATTTATCTTGGCCGGTACTTTTTGGCCAAAATCATTTACGCAAGACCGATGCCCGTATTAATTATCGTGCTCTAACTGTATACTTTGCCGATAAAGGGTTAGAATTCGAAGTCAAGTGTCACGATTCTAATCCTATTCATGCATTTCCACATTTGCATTTTCCTACAAGTAGTTTTACTTCTACTGCTAATGTTACATGTTTGTTGACTGCCCTACCAACACAGCCAGGTGAACCTGTTCGCCTCCACAGGGGCTTTAATTTTGTTACTGTTTGCATGTTGCTTGCAACATCGCTGGTGGGCTCCTCCCTATTTTCGGCTTCGGGTGACCTTTGGCTGGAAGGTAATAAAATATTACCGGGGGTCACTACCCTTAGTGGTCCTATTTCCCTTTCTGGGTTACCGAGCATGACAAGTACTATTTAATCCGAAGCTTTGTAAAGCGTAGTTCAGTAATCTTCGTATCCTCGTTCAGTTAAGTTATAAATCTTGAATGATAATCAAGATATGAAAATGTAAAGAGTGTGTTTCCTTGCTCTACCATCTCAATAATATAAATAGAAGCACCTCTCACATTCTCACCCAGCTAAACCTAAACAACAGAATGGGAAGTTTTAGACTGGCCTTTTAGATTAACCGTTTTATCGGTACCAAAGTATTATGTTATATAATTTTTTGTTATACTCGTAATTCTAATAGTAGTCATTGGAAATGTGCCCTTTTTGAGTAGCTGCCCCCGCTGCCTCAAAATGCTTCCGGCGCCCCTGTCCAGACCCCTAACTCTTGAAAGTTAGGAGTCTGGAGCACAGGTTAGTTCAGAGAGGCTTTTTAGTTTGAAAAGGCTAATTTTTTATCACTATATAAAATAAATTTTCGAAAAGTTATCAGTTACCTAAACCATGCAAAATATCTGTCGAAAAACTTTCGTATTTTGTAAATAGATATAGCTTACTCTGAACTTTAACAAGGGGGACTGAGCCCCCAGAGCCCCTTCAAGACACCACTGAAATCCTTTTTTTGGCAGTACACAATTTGCTTTCAAAATCTGCTGTGAGCATTGATTCCTGTGGCACTCCTTGTCCAAGTTCACCCCAGGAGCTGTATTGACCTTTTGTAGTGATTTTAATATTGTAAATTAGGCCATATTCCTACATCATGCCATCACTATGACATCCACCTAGGTCATTCACAGCATCACCTAGCACAGGACATTCCCTTCACCATTGATCACACGTTCACACATCTATGTCATGCTGATTTCTTCCCAAGTTTAGATCTTTCCTTCTCCATTGCATCATCATTACATCATCACAACACATCATTACTCAGCACATTTATTTTGTTTATAAGTATGTTAATTTGTATGTAATTCAGTCAGTCAGTCAAGTTCAGTTCAGATCAGAGTTATACAGCAATACACTATCTCTCTCACTGGCTCCGTGTTCTCTGCACGTTAAATAAGATATCGAAGCAAACATCAACGATGGAAAGTCATAGGATATGATAGGAACCATTGCAATTCTTGCTAAATAATAGCGTTCCTATACTTTCACTTTGACTCTTTGCTTGCTATTAGACGGGTAGTATTGTATAAGTAAAAGAGAACTTCTATCTACACCATAGGCATGTAGTTTTGCTAAAAGTAGGATTTTTTGGTAGACAGTCAAAGGCTTATGACAAATCCATAAGGACAGCGCCAATATGTTTGTTCCTTTCCAGTTCTGTTTTCCAGTCTTCAATAAGTCTAAAGAGTGTGCTGGAGAGAAAACGGTTTTCTATATGCGCATAGGAATTTCGAAAATTTTTCTTCAAGAAATGGAGACAGTTGTAGCTCTATTGCTTTTTCAAATACCTTTGAAAATGTCGTTAGTAGACTTATTGGTCGATAATTTTCCTTATTGAAAGAATCTTTTTTTTATAGACAGGTGAGAATATAACCTTTGTTTGAAAAGTTTGAAAATGTTTCTTGAATAATGAATGCATTTATTTATGATGTTCAGGAGGGGTTGTAGGATGATATCAACTGAGATCTTTAGGAATTTTGCATTGATCATGTCGTTCCCGTGTGCCTTTTTGTGATTCAGCTTCACAACTATTTGTCTTAGGCTTCTTTGGTGATCGCTTTAAAGCTTAAGGTTGAGTTACTCTAAGGTCCTTAATAGAAGGGGGGTCTTGATAGTTGGGGGGAGTCAGAAACTTTTCAAAAAATAAATAAGCGGGGGGTCCTAGTAAGTGGGGGGTCGGAAATGTGAAAAATCTGAAAAATCACGTGATGATTCTTTTTAGAGGTTAAAGGAGATTTTCTTCTGAATACAGTCGATAGCAAAATGACAATTATCACCATGTGATAATATATTGTTGTATTACTAAAATGAGCACGCTAATTATCATTGTGTACATCAGTCAGGCCTATGTAAATCTTTTTAGGATGTCACTACTTTTCTATGTTAAAACTTTTGTACAATGGAACTTCTTCACTTAAGAGAAACTTTGCAGAAATTTCACACTTGCAAGATTAAAGGACAAATGAAATAAGGGATATGAATGACTGCATATAAAAATTAATAAACGGGGGATCCAAAAAAGCTCCGGGGGGTTCAGAAAAAAATCAAAAAATTAATAAGCGTCCCCCCTTCTATTAAGGACCTTAGAGTATTTGTTAGGAAGTTGTTGATTGCTTTTATGCTTGAATGCTCTTTAAAGTATCTTATTATTTCAGTTATTGTTGAATTCTCAGTCAGATCTTTATGGATTGAATCAAAGATCTTTGATTGAATTTGTAGTTTGACCACCCCCGTATATATTTCTATCAGCACGATATGGAATTTTATATCCAGGAATAAAAAATTGTTCAGTTGAAAAAGAATCATCAATTTTGGTTTCACTAACTTGTTTCCGATACTGTTAATGTTTAGATGAGCAAGAATAGGGTTTTTTGGGTATTTAAGCCGAGCCTGTTTTAATTCTTTGTAATTTGATGCCGATTCAGTTATATTATTTGAAGTGTAAGAAAGAAAGCAACTTATTCTTATTGAGTCATGCAGAACGACAGGCCTTAATGCAATCCCTTAAGCGAGAACGAAATTACAAGCGAGTTTTGCGCTACCTCATTTGTTTAAGTGTAGACCACTGTTGCACTTGTCATACACAGTTATATTACTGTTATCAATAGAATGAAAGTTGTTTTTTTCACAAATGTCATACAAGATATTATTCAGCTGTTGGACATTGACATCAGAATTGCTATACTTAGCTTGACGAATGATTCCCGAAATGAAGATACTGCATGTTTGTTTACGTCTCCTGATGCTCGTTGCCACTTCTTCAGGGCCTCCGACGAAGGGGGGCCGGGGGGGCCATGGCCCCCTCACTTTTTTGCAAAACAATAGAGCTTTTTTTAAAAACTTTTGTTATGATTTTAATATTTTCTCTTGGCCCCTCCACTTTCCAACCTGCGTCGGAGCCCATGTTCTTTCAATTCCTCGCCTATTTGTCGCGGACTGCTGGAGGTGTTCATGGCGTCATTTATGCCGCAATGTAGAATGATAAAGTCTGGCTTTTTTGAGATGATAGGTTCGATATAGTGTTCCAGTTCCATAGCCTTCATACCACCGATGCTGATTTTGTTGACCCATGCTTGCATATTTTTTGAAAGTTTGTGAGGGAGAATATTCTTGATTATAGAGTCGCCAATGATAGCAATGTAAGGTTTCTTATCTGATGGAGGTTGGTAATTATGAGTAAGTGAAAATTGTCGTTCTGAAATGATGATCGTTGTGGTCTTCTGGACATAGCTGATTTATCAGTAGGTTTCGCTTGATGGATAACTTTATTTGGTTGGATTATGGTGCTACGTGGTTTATGTGATGGCAAAGTGGCGTTGTTTGGAACATTTTGTACGGAGGGTATAAAAGCAGGAAGAGAATTATAGGGCACATCTTCAGAAATGATTTGTAAGGTATCAGATTTGTTTGGATGTGTAAACGTGTGTGTTGCCTCCTGGTCTATAGGACGGTTGGTGGGTGTTTTGAAAAAGCTGGTTTTGAGATTGATGACTGTATTGGTTTGTCTTATAGCTAACAGTTTGCCACGGAATTTACGCATTATCATGTTTGTATTTCTTTTGGTCAACAATTTCCTTTTTAGGGCTTCGATTTCAGCTAATAAGATACTGTTTTCTTTCCGAAGTCTTAGATTTTCTCTTTCGATATTTTGAAAACCATCAAGGGTTGTTCCGTCCTTGGACAATTTTAGTTGATTTATCTCAGCCTTCATCAGCTCAATACGACTCCAGACTGGCTGCAATGCTTTGTTTGTCAAATGCCGATATTTGATTTGGACCGTATTCCTGCCGGGGCTGAGCTTTAGAAGCCATCAGATTGTCATCAGCTTGATTATTATCGCCGTTTGCGTCATCCTTCTGTTTCAGGTCAAATTACTTTTAAAAAGTTTTCTCTAAACTCATTTTAACCCTCTCCAATAATGCAGACTGTTGCTGAAGGAATATATACCTAGAACCAGGCTGAATGACGACCCCAAGTGCCCTTTCTGCAACTCCTTCCTGCCCCCGCCGCATCATCAAGCTCTGTTGTGAGTTAAGCCTTTATATATATATATACATATATATTTTCTTTCTATACTCTTACATCCTTAATTTTTACTCTTACTGTTATACACTACTTCAAACTGAAATGGAAATTATAATCTTGAGTTTAAATACGTCACTAGGACATATGACTCGATAGCTCCTCGCGAGTTTTTCTCATGTGTCTTTCAGCATAACAAAACCAATTTATCTGATGTACTTAATTAACTAAATTTTTGAAAATGCTAACTTTTGTATTCTAACTTTCAATTCTTGGTATATTGTAGTTAACATTTTGTTTTTGCTGATAAAGATTTAGAGTTTGAGTTTTGAGTTTGAGTTCAAGCATTTCTTGAAATATGCTGTCATATTTTCTCACTTGCTTTATTGTTGATTAGATCCTGCTGTTTTATCGACTGATGATGCCAGCCGTATGAAACACGTCTGAAACGATGTTGACATGCATCATAATGACGGTAAGTGTTTCTTTGACAGAAGGTATTTGTTTGGCAGTCATCCCATTGCATAAAAAAAGAAGCGACACACCTCACCTCATAGTTCCGCTTGAAGGTAGGAAGATACGCACGTCTGTTTGAAAGGAGGTTCACAAAGCAGATCAACCAGAGTTGAGCATTAAAAGGCACGATGAGAACCCTACGAACGCTGTTGGTTTGTAAGTAAATGGCTTTGTTGAATTGAATTCCATACGAATCTCTTCGCGTTGTCAATTTTCTTCCTATATGCTAGAATGGAGTTGACATCTTTAGCTTTGTCTCTACCAAAAAATCCATTGTTTTGAGACAAAGCGACGGACATGAGAAATCTTTTTCTATACATTACACTAGATTTACTGCTTCGGTGAAAATAATTAAAGTATTCAGCTTTGATTTATTTCAAAGGACGATTTCAAATCGGAGGTTCTTTTTTATTAAAGATCTGTAGAATGCGAGATGCAAAATCACTGGCCTCTATGCTAACTAGTACAAATGACATTGGCGTGCCTTCGGGATGTAAACCATATGATGACGAAATTTAAATTGTTTTTTGCTTTAGTTGCTGGTCTTGCTTTGCTGGCGTTTGCGAGTGATGCGGCAGACAACGAAATGGAAAGTGATGTAGACACCGACTGCATACAGGTATGAAGTAGCATCAGACTTAAACGTAGCCCTAATATAGCCACATTGTTAACAGCAGGGTTGGAAGGTAGTCTCATTGTTGGACGGTAAGTGGTCTGTGATGCAGGCTAGGTTGGAAGGTAACTTCATTGTGAATGCCGTTTCTGACGCCAAAGTTGTTGGATGTAAATGCCAGGTAAATTTTAAATAAATATTGCCAGAACCTTCAAATAATTCAGATTATGCTAAAAACTTGCTATTTTATCCCACTATGTTTTTTGAATTATTAAATACCTTAAGAAGTCTGTGGTTAATTATGGTGCAATGTGGTTCAAATAAGGCACCGAATTTAGTTTTCATAGAGGTGTCTTGAAATTTGCAACACTTTTTTTTAGAAATAGGTCTCCCTAGAAGTCTTTCTGCCCCTCGTCGTGTAAATTCCAAAGATTAACACGTCAGTAATATCTATGAGAAATTGTTTTACACTCTTAAGAACAATTTTATAAGAACAGGAGCCTCAAAACTGGTCAAAAGTTAAGAACAAATTAAGAACAAGCTGAGGCTGAGCTTCTGCAAAATGCAATTTTGAACAACGTTTCTCTCAAAATCGAGGATTTTTAGCGATGTGTGGGTGCTTTTTCGGTAAATATTCAAATTTGTCAGCAAATTAAGGCTGTCTCACTCACTTTGTTGGTAAACGAGGCATGAACACCTTCTTAGAGCGAAAAAGCTAGCAATAGGACTGCTTACACCCTCTTAATTCAAGAACAAATTAAGAACAATCCAGCCTCAGATTTTCGAAAAAATTAAGAACAGTCAGCCTGAAATTAAATTTACTGGTTCCTATAAAAAAAGAGTGTATTGTAATTGTACTCTATTATCCCAGGGCCCACGGCACTGGGGAACCGGGGTGGCCATGACCCTTTTTTACAAAGCAAGTAATTTTAAAGCTATGCACAGTGAAAAGGGAAAGAAGCCTTGGCCCCTACTTTTGCCAGCCTGGGCCCTGTTATCCCGCATTGAAGCCTATGGGCCTATATGCAAATTCTTTACGATTTGAATTTTGCAATTTGAAAAGCGTGCCCTTGTATAGGCCTATGAATTGTGATGTTTGGCATCGAACTCCCTAGGAAAAAGAAAAGCTTTTGTATGAGGCTAAAGAGACAACAACAGGAGAAATGGTTAAGAGGTCCTATGCATATATGTTCTTAAAGGACCAAAAACACATCTTAAAAAAGCAGAATATTGTCAAGGATTTTGTCGAAAAAGAAGAAAATATATGACTTTCTATGAAGTTTCCTTTATTCTGAAGTATCATTTACAAGCTCATCCTGAAATGAGAAGTCTCTCACTTACAGCCTCATCGAGCCTATCCGGGTACAAGCCCATGTGCTTTTATACAGGTTGGGCTTATATCTCGGGGGGGGGGAGGGCACCTTAACATGTTTGAAGGTACGGGGACGTACTATTATTTAGGGGTACCTTTTTCTGAAAAGTGCAGAATTATCGGTACATCAGTTTTTGAAATATATGCGGAATTATCGGTATCAGTTTTTGAAATATGTGCAGAACTATGGGTACCATTTTGGGGAAATATTGCAAAATTATTAGGAGGGAGATTAAGCATTAACAAAATTAATGTCCAGTTAAAAATAAAAGTATGAAATGTGTGCAATATTGAGATTTTGGGGCATAGGACATGCAAAATCTGGTTAATGATTTTTTATGTGCTTTAAAAATGTTATTTGCTCTGCAGAATAATGGGTATGTTTTTCATCATGTTTGCGGGATTATGGGTCACATTTTTTCAGACATTTGCGGAATTATGGGTCCAAAATTTTAACCAAAATGGCACGTCCCCGTCCAAAATTAGACATAGTTTATCCTTCGAGGCTTATATGCCGGGTAATAGGGTATTAAATATAATTTAATTGTAGATTTATTTACAGAGCTACAAAAGGGTGTTTTCAGAAAGGTTATACTGATAATTACCTATCGTTTTTTGAATGGATTAATTAGCAACCAAAGGTTGAAATTTAACTGATAAAGCTATGCTCTTTGCAGCGTACATTGTTGGATCCTTCAAGCGATGTTAATGATGCCTTCAGGAAATGCGATGGTGCTAAGGATTCAAATGCTGCGGAGGAATCTCAAACTGCTGGAAATGATGATCTGAAAGACCTTGATGAAGATTCTGAACATACCGAGATGACCAGCAGAGAAGATTCGGACGGCAGCCCTGTGGCCGAAGAACAGGACACCGTAGCATCGGCAGAAAATGCTCCACGATGGTCTACTAGAAGGCGCCGATCAGTTCGTACGCGCCGATCAGTCCGCAGACGTAGATCAGTTCGCAGACGCCGATCAGTCCGCAGACGTCGATCAGTCCGTAGACGGCGAGCAGTTCGAAGACGCCGAGCAGTCCGTAGACGGCGAGCAGTCCGAAGACGCCGAGCAGTCCGAAGACGCCGAGCAGTCCGAAGACGCCGAGCAGTCCGAAGACGCCGAGCAGTCCGAAGACGCCGAGCAGTCCGAAGACGCCGAGCAGTTCGCAGACGCCGAACAATTCGCAGACGCAGTAAGTGAA